CTAATACATAGTGGCTTTAGTAAGTTTTCTGAATGCTGTTCCAATATAATGCATATTTTTCATTCATTTTAATGGTTTCTCTGCCTTGGGCAACTTTTCAAACGCAAATACCACGCATTTACCTGATGGTATAAAACACATCCTATGCATTAACATGGGCTCAGGATTCAAATTTTAAGTTGGTTTCCAAATGAAGTAGATGAATAATTCATGATTCATGCGTAATATGTGGAACGCTAAAATGAAGACGTTAATAACATTATATAGAATATTCGATGTTTTATTAGGCCCCGACATGTATGGCATTATTTTTTTATTGTTTGGGCTCTGGAAATGTATAGAACATCTCTTCCCAAACTTTTTGCCTGGGACTCATTTTGGTGATTCACCTTATACTGGCGAGCCACCTTCTCAGAAATGAGATAAGCTAACTGAATGACTTTTACTGTGAATTGGAGGTCTTGGGTTCGAATCCTGGAATAAAGATCAATTTATAAATTTTGTGAACAAAAAATAGAAAAAAAAGCCCCTTTAAAAAAAAAAAAAAAACGCCACCCCTATTCTTTAGTGAGCTAGGGGCGGGTGCGTGCTGGAGGGCAAACAAACTTTTTTTCTTAGGCCTAATACATCGTCATCGAGACTGACAAAACATAAAAAATAATAATAAGAATCTGTTTTAACAATTATGTAAATATACAAAGGCATCTGTCTCTTATACACATCTAGATGTGTATAAGAGACAGCATCCTTAGTAGACCTCACACTGATTTATCAAATTTTGTTAGCATTGTCATTATTTTTGTTAATTTTATGGGCATTTTATGACATAATCTCGTCAATGTCTGACTTTCCTTTTTCCACTCATACCTGGAATTGGCAAATCGTAAAGTTATAGGGAATTATAAAACCACTGATGCTTATTATTTCTACTGGCCTTGTTAAAGCCAGGCTCCAGAAGAAAAAAAAATATATGCTGTACTGTACAACTGATTTTTCTAAGACATAAAATGCATATTTGATGATAAACAACTTTTATCAAAAGTGTTTTTTCCTCCATTGCCTTAGCTTTAATGTTGGATTATAATCTTTCATAATTGCACCAAATTAGTTAGTTGTCATCGACGTAAGCACAATCTTATCTTGCTCGCTTTAATTCTTGGAGTGTTGAAATGGGGGTGCTGATGGGGGTTGCGAAGGTGGAGTAGGGGCTCGATGATTAAGTAAGGGCGTTTGCAAAACAAGGTGTTATGTGGGGATTTTTAACTACTTGAGCATTACTTTTTTTACTTTGGACATTTTCAATTGAGAACGAACGAGGTATGCTGAGCTTTTTCATCTAGATGTGTATAAGAGACAGCCCTGTTTTGGGGGGGGGGGTTCACCTCCACACACCACTTACATATGCTACTGTTCTTGAGCATCAGATGATGTCAGTCAGTAGATACTCTTATGCCAAGAGTAAATGATTTTTCCCTTACCCCAAAAGTATACTACAACAAGCTGGGTCGTACTCGGTACATGAATTTTTATTGATTTAAAAATATTAATTTATCACTAATCACTAAACATAACAAAATGAAAGAAACGAAGTGATCATGACATGCCAATAACTTGATAGAAGAGAAAGCAAGACTAAATACATTATACAAACAGACATGATAATAACAGTGATGATTATATTATATTATCTGTCTTTACGGTATGGTAATGGTTGAGAACTAGGATACAATATAAGGCCTAGAAAAAAATTGTTTGTTTGCCCTTTAATGCTTAAAATTGTATAGGAGGGGCAGGTGCAAACAAGTTTTTTTTTAAAATTTTTTTTTTCTCCTGTCACAAAAATTAACATTAAATCACGATGCTTGCAATTAAGCCTGTTTCACTATTCATCAGACTGAATAAAAATAACCCATATTCAATGTTTTGCAATGAATTTTGGCCTAGAATGGCGATACCTTACATCAGACACCAAATTTAGACAACTTTCATTTGGAAAATGGGGAAAAATTAAGATCACTTTATAAAATTTGTGAACAAAAAATAGAAAAAAAAGCCCCTTTAAAAAAAAAAAAAAAACGCCACCCCTATTCTTTAGTGAGCTAGGGGCGGGTGCGTGCTGGAGGGCAAACAAACTTTTTTTCTTAGGCCTAATACATCGTCATCGAGACTGACAAAACATAAAAAATAATAATAAGAATCTGTTTTAACAATTATGTAAATATACAAAGGCATAGTATTTATTAACAGCTCCAATTTTATAATTCATCAGTATGAATGCAGAAAATGTATTAATGCAGAAGGACCATATAGAGTTCACAATTGGTATACATAAGTCTTATATAAAATAACAAATTGCTGTTAATTCCTAAATTTTTGCTTCAAAAAGTAATGAAATGCTTGAAAATGTTAACAATTTATAAATACATAAGAATTTTATAAAGTCCCTTCTGGTAAAGTAAGTGAGTAGATATGATCTCATACAAATGCATTAAAACTCATTAAAAAGTTATAATAACATTATAAATTGTTGTTCATTGTTCTTCTCTAAATCCATAATTGATAAAGAGATGTTTAAATAGGACTAGATTTGTTTTTTTCTTCTATTTGGCAATTGAAATTAGTTTTAATTTCACTATTAGTCGGTCGCAGTCATTTTATCGCCATACTGAGTCATCCAGGATTGTTTTGTATGTGTCAATGTGGGAAATGAAACTGCACAAATGAGGACATAGAGGTTTTGAATTGTGCATTGAAAGTAATACTGTCCAGCAGTAATTGCATGTGTACACAGTCATTTTCACTATGTGTTAGGCTGGCCTCTGAAAGGTCTTTGTATTTAATCAGTTTAAATGATAAACAGGCCATTAGTAGAGATAAACACAGATATCTTTATGATTTTTGAATACAGAACATTGCTCAGATGATTAGACTTGCTACCTCTCATATTGTGGCTGATAATTCCTGGCTATGTTTAGAATTGATGTCATGTTTACTCTAGAGCAACTTCGCTGTATTAGGATTCTAAACTATACAATAAACTATTTAATTTAAACTAAATATAGGCCTGAACATTAATTATTTCTAAATATATACCGTACAGTACGGTAGGAATAATGTTATATAAACTAAGCCTTGTTTCAAGGCCAGGGTCCGGGAGTGTGGTGCTTGAGTCATGAGAAAAGAAAGGATTTGAACCCAGGAGCCTTGGATTGGAATGCAAGCAGTGGTGTATCTAGTAGGTAGGTGGGGGAGAGCACTCCCTCCATACCTGTACTTGGGCGCCCCCCCCCCCCAGTTGCCTCAAAAAGAAAATCATGCTGAAGTAGTCAAAAAATCACCTAAAAAAGCACCTTTATTTTGCAAGATAGCACCGCTCACTTAATCATTCAATGCCCTTCCCCCCCCCCACGTGAGACCTTCGCGCTCACCCATCATCTCCCCCATTTGAGGATCCCTAGATACGCCACTGAATCGAGCATCCAAGCATCTAAGATTAGTTAAAACCACCAATCTACACCTCCCACTACTCAGTGAGTTATTATATCTTATTTATTATAAAGAATTATTAGTTTATTGTTCATTTTTGTTGTTATAATATTATTCAGGACCCATAAATTCCAGCTCAAGAAATTTGAAAGGGTAATACCCATACCAAATATTGTTAACAAATAATGTTATATTTCCAGGTTAAACTTTAATAATGATTTCATGTGCATAAAGATCCCCTTTGGGTTGATTAAAACCACCAATGTAAACCTGCCGCTACTCAATTAGTTATTAGGCCTAGGCTATAGATCACAATCATAATCATCATTATCATTGCCACCACCATCATAATCATCATCACTATTAATATCCTCATTGACCAAATATTTTGATAACAATTGTAAATATAATATAGATAAGAAAAAAGATTAATTAAATTATAGCAAGGTATGTTCCAGGGTCATCTTGGCATTACAGTCAACCCAATTGGTCCCCCAGGCCAGCCTATTAATAGGTCATTCCCTGGTTCAAGTAAAACCACAACCAGTTGTCAGGTGACCCATTTCACTTGGCACCGATTGCCAATGTGTTTATCGCATTCAAAATCATACGGAAATATGATGAGCCATGATATTCTCCTGTTAAACACAATAAGCTCTTCGAATGATTTCCTAGCCGGAATCAGGAAGGCTATAATGCACAGGTCAATTCATCGCGTTGTTGGATTGCATTAGGAAAGACAATAATACTCGTACTAGTTCATTGTTCAAAAGGGCTCAATTCAAAGCAATAATAGCCAGCGAAGGAGTGGGAACAGGAAAATCTGCAAGTTTAAGGGTTGATCTAGTTCTTTATATTGCAAATCAACATCGTTATGAACACATTTTGTGTAGGTGCGCACACATACTGCAGACATAGGTACGTGCCACTCACCAGCGCTCATCTAATCTTTTAACCAATAGCATACTTCAACATTCCAGCAATTTTGACTACAGTAATAGTTAATCTTTCACAATCAGTGGCACCTCCAAGACGCTTCCCCTATATAAGTTGCTTTCCTCATATAATTAATCACAAGAAAAAAAAAAAACATGTACCACGCAGGTTATTAATCTTCGTGCTAATGAATGTGAAGTTTATTTAAGTCCATAATACTCTCATTAAAACGATTAATAAGGATGATTCAGCGGCGTTCCATATCCTTTAGCCGTCTATTTTTTGGTTTTGTAACGTTACATGTATCGTTCCAGTTCACAAAATTACATTTTACTGTTTGTAACAACAACCATCATATTTACCAAGTCACCGACGGTGTTCAGCAGTGACTACGATCATTGCTACACGGTTGACCAATCAACGTCTTTGATTCAGTTATTGCATAAAACGTAGGCGTGGCCTATGTGTCACTGCTCTAGATCGTTTGAGTTATAAAACCACCTAATTTTGAGAAGGAAAATAACGAATTTATCTCTCAATCTTCTGCAAGTATTTGCTGTTTTATTCTAAAATTTTAGTGGTAATTGAATCATTGTATTACAGGAATGATAGACAATTCTATATTGACACATTTCGTCGATTTTGTGTGAACATTTCTTTTTCTGTGGCTTGTTTTGTTGAATAATACGTAGGCCTATATTATAAGGAGTTTAAACGGTGTTGGAAATTTAGTCATATTGTTTAGTATTGATATTATTTTGTAATGGCATGTTCTAGCACTATTGTAAACCGTTGTTTGTTTGCTTTTCTAGTTGCAATGTGCAAACTATGCACAACTAGCAGAAATGTAATCTGTCCAGAAGAAACATATAATTTTCAATAGCATTTTGGGATTGTACATCTGCATACTGCAAACTTGTTAGCGTACTGGGTTATGAATTATTTATGACACTATAGCTAATATGCTACACGATTTTTTGCTATACATATTTTGGATTTAATACGTTTTCTCTTCAAATTCATCCTTTCGACACCTTTGTGGGCTGTCTCTCAATCGAAGCACCGACATGGGCGTGTTACGAAGTCACTGCAGAAACGCGATATGGTGAAGAAATGTGGGTGTTACCTATCTTCTGATTGGCCAATCGGGGTAGATTTGGACATAAATTAAGAGCACGTGGGGTGAGCTAGCTTTTCCAGGTTTTGATTGGTTTCATGATACGGCCAATCAATTACTTTCCATATTTGGAATGTACTATTGGTCCTTCTTTGTTCAACCGCGTGTATCACCAGTCTTGTGTGTGGTATTTTTTGCGAGGCCGCTCCGTTGACTGAAATTACATATTCAAAAACGTAAAAAAGTGCATAATTCTGCGGTATAGTCTACGGATTTAGCTTACTTCGTCAAGATTTTACTGTATTCATCTATTCTGCCTTGGATTTACATTAATAATTGCTTTGTATATGCATGGTTAGGATACATTTCGGAGGAATACATATTTGATTGAGTCGGTGGTCGAACGTTCACCGCTTGACGAGTGGACCCATTTCGACATTGTTTGTATTTGGAAATATTAGAGACTCGGATTTGTACAACAGGGGATAACTAATGCAACATGTACTCTCAACCACGCCACCAGGTAAGAAGATGTTTCTTTTTGGTTAGAATATATTATTTTACCCGTGGAGACATCTACATCACTGATGAGCTAGCTATTCACCACATTCAAAGAGGACGAGTATTGACCTTTCCAATGGTTTAAGCGAACACTAGCTGTCGGGGTTTGTCTCTACTTAATCGCCTCTCGATTAATACCCGACTGAATAAGCTAGCCCAAGTGAGTGCTAGGCTGGGAGTCGGCCTTTGTTCTCGGCTTCTATCAGCTAGCCGTGGAATTTATAATACGATATGTGCTAAATTTGTTGTTCATGCAAAATATATCGTTTCTGTATTTTCCCCACCAAAGTGAAAATATTACTGTACAGTGTATCTATACTATACTGCTGGATAGGCTAAGGCCTAGCCTAGCTAGGAGTCGGACCTTGCAGCTGGTGATTGACACATTGTTCTTTTATCCGGGGGGGGGGGTGGTCCTGGGCCGACAAGTAGTAATTTTCTACAAAATGGGTATAGCTTAGGCCCTAGGCCTATTACTAATAGTATAACAATGATTATTAATTTATAGTCTAGTACTGTAGGCTGTAGCAATTCTTTCACCACCACCTTTTGAACAGCAAATTATTATATTAATTGAAGATGTTATAAATGAATATAGGCCTATATAATTATACCGTATTGCCATTTCATTCTGATTTCATTGTTGTTGAATTATTACTACTTTTTAGGCCAAGTAGTCGTAGGATTAACTATTGTTTGATCCATTGTTTATTTTAATATTCATTATGACTATTGTAACTACTTGAGAATTGATCATACCTCGATTGCCAATGTGTAGTCCAGATTATCATGTACTCTTTTGACCTGTCATTCAACTCAAATAGGCCCCACCCTTAAACATACTGAAATCTTAGCTGTACCTTTGACCCTCTTCAACTTCACATGTTTGTCGTTCCAAATCTCATTTCAAATTCTGCTTGATCCTTATCTATGTAAGTAATTACCTTTGTATTTAATTTATTGAAATAATTTTCTATAATGCGATCTAAAAAAGATTAAATATACCATTCTTTTCTTTTATAGACTCCGCATCAGGCCGGACAACCGTTTAAATTCACGGTTCCGGAGTCATGTGATCGTATCAAAGAAGAATTTAGCTTTCTTCAGGCACAGTATCACAGGTAGGTGCTGCTCGTTATTGTTGTAATTAATCAAGAATGAATATATTTGATTAACACATCTTTTCTGGATGCGGATTAGGAAGCGATAATAAAGAGGATCACACACCTAGCAAGCAATTACAAGCCAAAGATTAGATGGTGTCCACATTAGGGATGCTAATTTATTCTATCAGCTGTCCGACAGTATAACAGGAAGTTTCAACGATAATCTCACCTTATTTAATCTCCGCAATACCGTACTCGTAATCTGAGTGTCTACAATCGCATTCCAATCTACTACAACTCATTCTGTTCATTAATTTCTTAGGTGTTTATATTTTTTTAGCAAAATTGTATATTTTGTTGAAACTATTTTTTCTCTGTTTTCTAAAAAATTATATCAAGGATTTACACCTTGATATTTTGTATTTAAATTGTATACTGACTCTCGTATTTTTTATTTTATATATTATTTTTCCATGTTCAGATTGAAAATTGGTGAAGCGATACAGACTCTTTGTGTTTAAATTTGATAGACTTATTATATTGGGTAAAATGGAAGAGGTTATAATTAAGTGATTTGCCACCATTGTAAAGTGGATTCCAATTTCATCAGTAATCAAAGAAATTTGACCTTTAAAACTAAAATGTTTCAGCAATTTTTACCCTACAGAATAAATGTGTTACAGAAATTTCAAGATACAGCAGATGATTAATGATGATTTATTGACACATAAAAAAAAATAAAGATTGTGCCATTTATGTTTGCAATGGATTATACAAATAAAGAAACAGATATCTTTTCATGTGGATCATTGTAAATATAAATAAATGGCATTATGTACACACACCAAATAAGCAGAATAGACATGTGTACTCTATACACATGCACATGCTGAAGGCACAATGGGGAGACAAGAATATAAAGAAAATACATACTCTACTGTGCCTTGTATTGAATAATGAAGCAGCTGTTTTATGACTTACAGCCCTGTTTTTTTTTTTATAATGGCTCACATTTAATTCAATATCTATTCGTGCTTAAATAAAGTTTATTCTGTGATTTGGTGTGCACACTGCTATTTAGTTTTATTTTTATTCACACGTCCGCTTACAGAATACCCGAATACCCTGTTCGTGCGAGACAATTAAATTAAGCCTGGTGCATGCAGTATAGGCCTATTTCAAGTTCAAATGTTTGTTTTACAGTAGTCCTTAATGTTATTAAATAGGTTACATTGTTGCTATTACTCACGGGATCATGTAAACCTCCTCCCTTTTACATTGAACTCAATGATAACTTAATATCATCAGTGCTATATTGTGTAATAATGACTGCATTATTTTCTACATGGTCATGACTCATGACTCTATTTGGTAACACCTGATTTGGTTATTATGGCCTACTACTGGTATGTGTTTGCTTTCTCTATAATATGCCGTGTAACAACATAACAATAGGATCAATAACAAATACAAAGGCATGCTATGCTTTGTAAACTCTTTATTATTTTTTTTAATATTATTATTAACAATGTATTTCAGTTCATGAAAATAATCAGTAGATTTAAATGTCATCAGACATTTCAATTTATTATCAATTGTAAAGGATTAGGTCAAACATTGTGCCAAACAAAACAATTGTGTATAGTGCAGGCCCACTAGTAGTGCCTACAATGCAAGTGAATTGGGATTGTGGTAATGTATTTACTCCACTGTCAAGCATCTACTGTATAGCCAAGATTACCAAACCTTTTAATGGTTGTATTGTAAATAGGGCCACTGTTAATTAATCTCTCAATTAGCCATTCTGACCACCTCTATTGATCACTGCACATTGGCGGAAAATGAACCGTTGAATGAATTGCTTTTCCCCCATTTTTTTTTTCAAATTTAACTTTTTATATTGCATATATACAGTAGTACGGTTATAAATGATACACCAGCCAGTAAAGGTGATCTGTTTGTTCAAGCTTAGGATCATCATGGAGGAAGAAAATAGGATCATGATGATGGAGTTCTCTTCACTCCAAACTATTTTAAGAAATATATTTCAAAATCAGAAGGATTTATGACTGGGGACGACAGTAGACGAATATCTTAATTGCTGTGTACTGATGCTGGTAGCCCTAAATAGCTCACAGTCAAGTAATTATAACTTGCTGGATCATAAAATACATTGATTGGTATTAATGTTCAGGGCTTCTTAACAAACTCCTATAAATAACTCATCATTTTTTTTAATCTGAATTTTTTTTTATATTCTCAACCTTCAATCATAACCTTGACTACTAACTGCAGATTGATGAGACAATCAAACGAATGGGAGTTTTTGGTTGTCATTTTTAATCATTTTTAGCCTATATAGCATATGAAAACGTGACTTTGCTAATTAAGCCTTTTAATCTGCTCATAATCAATAACTTGTTAACAATCTTCAATTTTTTTAAAGGAAAGACTTGTTGTTAAACCCTGGATTCTGTGTAAATATGTTTAGCCGAATATTATGATTTATTTTTGATGTCTACTTATTTTTGCAGTTTAAAAATGGAATGTGAAAAATTAGCACAAGAGAAGACTGAAATGCAACGCCACTATGTGATGGTATGTATTTAATCCTCTCTCTGATTCTAAATTGAAGTATTTTAGAAAAGGTGATAAATATGAAGATTGTTATTCATACTGTAAATCGATGTAGCAATAAAAACATGAATTTTGATTCCTTCTCAATTACAATTTTTCTCATACTTTTTGAAATGATTTTTAGTATTTAAATTATTTTAGGGTATTTTTTAAAGAATTATTTGTGTGTTTAGATATTTCCATTCATTAAATCATCATTAATTCAAATTTTATGACTGTTTTGTTATTTTTATGACAATAAGAATTATGTATACAGGCGTATCTTACAATATCTTTTTTTATTCCATAATTGGCTATCACAAAATTTTGTACAGTAAAATAATTATTAATAATAATTAATGATAAATGGTAGACACCAATCATGACCTCTTTAAGTGACAATCAAGCAAGGCTATATAATTATCTAGGTCAATATTTGCATTTTTAGGCCGTTAATTACTGCATTTTTATTATTCGATTGGCAGTTGCAGGCATTTTCTCCATTTACTCAGAAACTGTTAATATTTAGAACAAATGGTGTCATGCACAATGCAAATAGTGTTTATATCTCATTACCGTACGGTTCGTGCCATGACAATACCAAAAAAATTGTTGGTAAATTGCAATTACGCTTTAGCCACTTAAATAATCAATTAGATTTGATAAATGTTTATGAGTATAACAAGACTGTTAGCATTTCTAAAATTAATATCAAATGGTATAGGCGCTCTCAGTGCACTGTATGAAAGATAGGATTGAAAGCATACCTAACCTAACATTTTGTATGAACAATAATACCATAAACACACATTTTTGCCAATTGCCATTTTTTATGGGATAGTAATATACTATAGGCCTTATGTAATTTTCTGTATTAAGCAAAAAATTAAGTGAATTACAAAAAAAAAAAAAAAAAGAAAAGAAAAATTAACATACAAATTGATAAAAACCAGATGGCATTTTGTTGATTTAAAAAAAAATATTTGTTTAATGTTACAGTAAGCTGAAAGAATATTTTCAAAACTTGGATGAAATTTGTTTTGATATCATTGTTGGCTTGCTTTTGGATTTGTACATAGATCAGAGCTAATTAAATTGAAATAAAAATAATACAGTGACCCTGGTTGAATGTACTGTAGATCCAGCCTGCAGTTTGAGGGGTGGGATTATTTGCAATGTATTCTAATCAAGATGTGATTTGGATACCAACAACTGGTGAATGAACGATGATTGATGTGTTCAAAAGATCATGTTACATTAAAGAATCTATTTACCCCCATTCTGTATTCATGTTTTCAAAGTCCAATATTAACTTTACCATTGTTCATTAAACAAGTCCCAAAGTAATCAACTGTTTTATTCCCAACACAGTAGAACACGGAATATTACACTCAGTCAATTCCGTTATTGTCGTAGGAGAACCAATTCGCAGAGCTACAATAACGATCATAGAACCATTCGTTTTTGATTTACGGCCACCTGAGGGAGTGCATTGAACTGGGCCCGATTGTTATGGGCTTCGCCGATTTGCAGGACGTAATCAGCTACTCCTTGAAACACCTCACAGAACACCTTTGTTCAAACTGTTACCTAAATATTTGGAAAGAAATTACACAAAAAAGAATTGATCTACTGTACAGTATTTAACTAGATACAGTAGAATGAATCCAGATAGTTTGAATCAACTTTATACTATAATGATCTTTTCTAATGATGATTTTTTTAATTTTTATTTTCAGTATTATGAGATGTCATATGGATTGAATGTAGAAATGCATAAACAGGTAAATCATTGATAATTATAATAAATAACAGACACTGTATTTACATTAATTTTTTAGGCCTAATAATGATTGTGGGTTTACTTTTTAATTGCAGTTAATTAGATAAAGACAAAATGTGTTATTAAATTAATATTGTATCAGTCTAGACTGTATTTGAGGGCATTTGTTTGAGAGATGACTGGTGGATTGAAAAAGAATACAGCATCAACAATATTTGCAAGATAAGCAGATTATTGGAAGTTGAATCTTTTTTTATGTTTAACTTAGAAAATACACTGGTAAAATGCAATATTTCACCAATAGTTTTCAAGGAATTTGCTGAATATGAAAACAGTCTGACTAGGGTTGTCCGCCTCCACATGATTCATATTAGTAGTTAAAATTCCTGAACCATTATAATCATTAAAGTAGTACATAAAAATGTTTTTGAAGATATATTTAGTGGAGTATACAGATGGTGTTTTGAAAGGTATGTTATTTATTTCGACAAACTTAACCGCTGTTAAAATGCAATATTTCACTAATAGTTTTCGGAGAATTTGCCGAATATGAAGACAGTCTGTGACTAGGTTTTTGTCCGCCTCCACATAATTCATATTAGTAGTTATAATTCCTAACTACCATTTTAATCATTAAAGTGATACATAAATTGGTTTTTAAAGTATATTAGCAGAGTATAAAGCTAATGTTTTGAACTGTATGTTATTTATATGACAAATGCTAAATACTGGGAGGTATCTAGTTATCTTTACTCCGGATGTGATTGCTAAATGATGCAGAATATTTTCTTCCGTTGTGAATTACCTTGAATCCTGTACAAACTACTATAATAAAAAACTACCTGTTAATTGAAAAAAATAAAAAGGAAATGAATTTCCAAGAGAGAAAAAACCCCAAAAAAATATATATATAAAAAGTTTATAAAATAAATTGTTAGTAAGGAAATAAAAGGAGTGAAATTTGACTGTAAAAATTGTGCTGTTACGAAATGATAATCGTAAAGGAACTTAAGAGGTCCAATATACAGGCCTATTGTTTACTTTTTATTTTGAATATGAATTTGCTGATTTGATTTGTTATTTTGAAAATCATTGGTATCATGTATTATTGAATAAATGTGGCTTTGCCAGAAAAGAGAGAGAGAAAAAAAAACTACTATAATACAATAAAAATAAAAGTTAGGCCCCTAATGTTTAATGGTACATGATGGGTCTAGAAATCAGGCTTTTTCACACCTGCCAGAACACATCAAAATTTTCATATTTCGTTTTTGTTTTTTTTTTTAATTAGGAAAATGGATATAAATGCATTATAATTTATGTAATTTTGCATCATCTATTTTTCATGTTTTTGAACTTTTTTAATATAATTTAAAATTTCAATTGATTACATAAACTTCCAAATAAGGAGAACAAATACTGTGTGACAACTCAATGTTTTTTTTTCAAATCCAAAGTATATGACACAAAAGAAATTATTAAAACATCAAAATGTTATCAAAGGTCTACAATTGAACAATTTTAGTTTCATTTAACTTGAATTCCAAAACTTTTAAGAGACAGTGTTATTAAAATTCAGATTTTGATATTAATAAACATTAAACTTTAAACTATAAAATATACAAAACTAAATATTGTATAGTTTGAACAGTATCCTGTTTCTTACTTGTAAAATTCTAACGCATGAATCTGTTACCGTAGATCCCTGGATCCCAATTGAGGAGGTACTTGAAATACTTTTGTATCTCCTAAAGCGTTTGAAGTGAACTTGAGATTTTCACTACGTTTACAATTAACTGTCCTATAAATATTACTCTCCTATTAAATGTGTTGTTTTTCCATTTTACCTGTAGACAGCTAGAAAAGCATTACGTTTGGGTGTGTGATCAAATTGAACACTACAGTATATATTAGTTGCTGTTAGAAATGCAGTAAAACTGTAGTATAATGCAATTTTTAATGTAGCATATGATAATTAATAGCGCCTTGAGCGCTACTGCAGTGGATTTGTGCGCTTTATAAATTTTATTATTTATTATTATTATTAATATTGGAATGCTTATAAGACATTTTTTTTTATTAGGGCATTAAATTATGATTACAAATTTATGTACCGTACACTTTCATAATGGCATGCATGCTTTAGGGATTGTGATACTGTAATAGCATTAGGGGGTCCCCTGGCATATCCCACGGGTGGTATCGCCCAGCGTTTCCCATTTTGTTAAATGACATACTGTACTAATTTTTGGTGTACATTATTTTATTTCGAAAAAAATCTAGATGAAGTATAGTTGTTCTATCCTCAGGATACACTAAGAATACACATTAACAATAGAAATAAGATTTAAAATTATGTAGAGTAGGCGAATCTTATTCTCTAGTGCAAGATTACACCTCCCTACTACTGTACTGTATGCAATAGGCCTAGTGCAAGATTACACCTCCCTACTACTGTACTGTATGCAATAGGCCTAGTGCAAGATTACACCTCCCTACTACTGTACTGTATGCAATAGGCCTAGTGCAAGATTACACTCAAAATTGTCCTTTGACAAATATTGGATGATGCCAACTGTACTTGTTTTGATTGTTGAAATGATGATTAAAAATCTAGGCCTGCATAAGATAATGCAATTTAAAGTAAAGTAGACAGGTGTTAGCGTAGGCTACGAGGACATCTTGTGTTTCTGCTGGACAGGTAATCCTAAATCTGGCTGTTAGCACACTTTAAAATGTTCTTGACTTGAGAGTAGCTGGCTACTTATGTTTTGCTACTTATGTTTGGCCTGGCTGTTTTCAGACAAAACAGTATGATTTCATTCCCTATTTTTCTATTCTGTTGTTATTGGATTTAGATGAATAGCAGATTTGATGCTGTAAATGTCAGTTAAAAATATAATAATTATAGGGAATCTTTATACTGAATGAACTGTAGTACACAAAGTTTTTTTCATTTTGAATTGGAAACCCTATTAATAGGCCTGTCCATGTACAGTACAGTGTGTTCAAGCATGGAGGTATAATTTATTTTTGGCTATGGTATTAGTGTTTAGATTTAGCACTACAGCATAGCACTCAATCTTGGCTTGGTGAGTATTTTAGGCTTGGTATTGGTGTTAACAAATTTTCCTTATTGTAAGCAGGTTTTCCTAGAAAATTTTCTTTTAACTTATTATGTCTGGTGTCTTTAGGTTGGCATATTCTTTGTTTGAGTGTAAATTAGATTAACCGATAAGCGGTTTAAATTGCTTGTTGATATTCGAAGGTTTTGTGTGTTTGGTTCCTGTATGGCGCATATTAACACATCATACAACAGTGCTTTATTTATTATAGCACAGGATGCGAATTCTAGTAATAACATGGCTAACAAGGAAGATGAGCAGTATTATAGGTCAAGGGTTTAAATTATAGACAAAGAAAAAAGTTCATAAAGTGATTAAGCAATCAGTGGCAATTATCTTCTTAATTATTCATCTGCTCTGGCGGACATTTGTATCTCATAAAAACTATTTTAAAATGAGTTTGTTTTGGTTCATGATATACTTACAGCAACCTGTGGTTAGGCATTTCAATTGTTCACATTTAAACAATTGATGAAGTCACTATGCCTTCCTATGACTTTTGCCCTTTAAAAGATGTGAGAAAGTCATTCATTAATATTCATTGCTAATTATTAAATTATAAACTTTTTTTTTTAAATTTAATATCAAAATTAGGCCTACTGTAAGGTATCATGGTAGGCCTACTCTACTGTAATGTAATGCTTTACTTTTAAAAGTAAAGGCATGATAGGTCCTATATGATAATTCTAAGAAAAAAAAACTATGTTGAAATTATTAAGAGCAATTCTTTTGTTATTCATTGTATAAAAGTCCTTGGAAACCTTATGGCATATGCAGTATTATACCTCTCTGCGACTAAGATAAGAATTTTTGCATTGTATGAGCAACGATACATGGTTATTAAACCAGGATAATGTATTAGAACCAATGGGCCTGGCTGTTGGTATCTACATGGCTGCATTCAGGAAGGATATATGATTGTTGTAATAGACACACACAGGATATACTTGGCCAATTGTTTCCCGTCCATGGTGCTATTTGTTCACTTAGAAGTAGTACAGGAACAATTACTAGCTCCCAAGACCAGAGTAAATATGTTGTACCGTTGGAGGCGTGGCCTTGGATAGAGTCCAGCGAGTCAATTATCATGCACACTTCACTACTTCAGTACGGCTACATAAGCTCTCAGAAGAGATTTGAACTGAGGAAGAATTCTACATGTCAAGGAGGGATTAACAGCTGTAAAAGTCCTTGGCGATCAAGCTTTTCAGTCCAACCAGCTCTTTGCATCCACTTGCGCTCATTTCAAAGTGTTAAAAAAAATCTTGAGGGTTTATTTCTCTTACAAAATGATTGCATTGCAGTAGCTTTCCAATTTACTTTTTATTCCATTGTCTGTTTTCCTTTGTACAGTAGTAATATGCTGTGTTTGTTTTGTGATGGTGAATTGTTTGTAAATTATGTGAATATTTTCCATGCATGTTCACGGCCTAATATTCCATATCAAAGCCTATTAAATTATGGGAATGGCAGTGAAATGAGCCTAGCATCGTAGGTATTGATGAAATCGTGGACATAATGATATTCTTACTTCCTAATGCTCTGTTACAACGCCATACTTAGTATTTTGCGTATTATTTTGTAATTCAAGTAAGCATTGCAGGTTATTCGCATTCTGTTACAAGAGGGACAAAGCCAGAAAAAAACCGAGTTTTTTGTTGATACGATCACGTTAAATCGTTGACGCTTGTGAGATTCATAAGCACCGAGCTCTCCCGATGGGAATTGCACGGTCTGTGTCTGGCGGAACGTTAAACACAGCTGATATGCTGAAACCATGGGCTGTAGACTGCCACAGCGATATTTAAATCAATCTGTAACGAGTTTAGCACATCGTATCCTGTCAACGAGAAAATTATACCATCGAACTTGCAGACCCGATGGGACCCTGATGGTAACGCATGCAATACGATTGTAATTTATGAAACAGAAATCACCTCGCATGATTGAACACAATATTGCTCGAGAAAATTTCATGGAACTATCATACTAATGACTTGTCTAGTTGTATTACTGTAGGGTTTGGCACTTGCCATCCAGATAACCAATAGTGTATCATCTAATATAATTGTTCAGGTTTTGACTAGTATTCTTTAAGAATTATGCAGTGTGTAACTTTGGTCATATGAGATACGTTTTTTTCAACATGGAGCACACCCTACCATAGGCTATTGTCTATTGTTTGTAAACGTAGTGCTTATGCTATGTAAACAAATTTTATTTATTTTCATAATATTGCTACATGAACTGTGAAAAGCAGATCTTTGTTGATGACTGATTTATTGCAGTCAATACTATTAACAATGGTTCATGGTGTCATGGTAACATTTGTTCTACAATGTGTTTAATTTCCTTCGTATCTAATCAGTAAAACTACAATAACACACACTTTGGCTATGGTTTTATCTCTTCGTGGCCATAACAAAATGTGTTACTATTTGTATTTGTTTACCACATATTATAGGCTTTTATAAATGTTCTAAGCTAAAAAAAAACATATATTTTTCCTTGTCAACTTTGCTACAAAATTAGCCAATGAGATGGTTCGTAGAAGTACCAATGAGCAGTAAACTAGGTAGATCAGCACGACGTAAGTTAGCTCAGCACAGGGTATATATGGAAGAATGGTCAAATCATGGTCAAATCCTTTCGTGGTTGTTTGCTAAGCTCATATGTTGGCTGATTTAGAGAATGCATTTTTTATTTTATTTATTTTGAGAAAAAAAACTACTGAATAGCATTGTACAGGATTTGAAGCCCCGTCCTTGGAAATGGAGGCAAACATCTTTCCACAAAATCATATTTTTTTAATATTGCAGTTTTTTTCATATTTCTCTACATTAAAATATGAATTAGTTTGCATTTTTTTATTTGCATTGAATGATCTGTCTAGCTGTTAACAAATATTTTATGTATAAAAAAAGAAATGTTTTTTATTTGCAGACAGAGATTGTGAAAAGGTTAAATGCCATATGTGCCCAGATTATACCGTTTCTATCACAAGATGTAAGTTGGTTTATTTGTTTTTTATTAACACTTTTTATAACTCTATTAATTATTAGCATATAGTAATAAAGATATCGATCTAAAATGTGATTAAAATTTTAATATACCAGGTGGTATTAATAAATTTAGTATGATTTATATATTGTGATAAAAAATATGAGCAAGTATGCCAGTGTTTTGGTATTCTTGATACAAGGATATAAGATTGATTATTTGTCATCGTGCATAACTCGGTTTTCCAATATTTTTAATAGTTTTAAAAACAATTATTCAAATGCTATGGACAAAAACAGAATACACAGGTTTGTAATTAGTACAAATTATGAAAAGCATTACAGATAAAAATAAATAATTTGTTTTAGTTGTGTAAGTACTGTACAGTACAGTAAGGCACCTAAAAGTAATTTTTATTAATGAGTGGTTTTCATTTTTATTAACAGCTAACTTAACGGTTTATCGTAAGTTTAGCATTTTAAATGCATTGGCCCACTAATCATTATTTTATGGTGCAACTGACTAATATTAATAATTCTGATACCAGCTGGCACTGACTGGAGGCCCATTAATTTTGAAACCTTTGATTGAGCCTGTTTTCATGACGGTAGTCGCTAATGATATGATAACAATAAGGGTTAACTAAATGCTTGGCAGAATATGATGAAGTTCACTGCTGTCTGCACAATTTATTTTTAAATATTTAATTTATACAAATTTTGCTGAACAAATGACTTTATTTTTGTGAATGAATGAAAGTTATTCTTACTTAAGTCTTGTAAAAAGTGTAAAAATAATAACAAAATAAAAAATTAAAGTGCTTAAAAAAATATAAGCTTGCAATGAGAAGTGGATTAAAATTACAGTGCTCTACCAGCCAATTTATAAAGTCTACTTTGTGAATACTTACCTGGCGGGCTTTCCTGGTGTGTTTCTCATGTGTACAAATAAATGAATTTAGTACATGTAGTATAGTATACAGTACAGTACTAATACTTGCTTTAGTTTGCAGGAAAATTATTTCCCATTTTAATTTCTAATTGAAATTTTACTGTATAAATACAAGCATGCCAACAATGGAATTTCTATTTTTTCAGTTATTTTATTTATTTCATGTGTTTTAGCTTTAAACACATAGTGATTTAAGTTATGCAAATTAAGGTTAAATACTAATTGAGAATCATTGATAACATGAATATTTATTAGAACTTATATGAAACGGAGCTGTTTTAAAGAGAAAGATCTTTAATCACAATGTTAATAACATTTGGAAGATGATGTTGATCTTGTAATAAATTTTTATATTAGTATTATTCTTATAATTTAATTTAATTTTTTTTATTTAATTTTAATTCAAATTTTTTTAATTATTTTTGTTTTCCAGCATCAACAACAGGTTGCTGCTGCCGTTGAACGAGCTAAACAAGTAACAATGACCGAACTGAATGCTATAATCGGAGTAAGTTTTTATCTTGCTACAGTAATCTGAACTTTGTGATCAGATTTTTAAAATTATCGCCTTGTTTAAATATTCACGGTTTTTGTTGTCTCTTGTGGCATATACTCTACGTCTTGTTGACACGATATGATATTTGTTACTGACACTTTGGGAAATACATTTATATTTAAAAATGTTTGTATGAAAGAAAAGTAAGACTAGTTCTAACCCTCATTTAAATTTTCCTTCATAATAATCTACTGGTTTATTTTAATGATGATATTAATTTAGACTTGATTCTTAGCAAGACATTTTCATCTTGTCACGTAAAATGTTGATTGAACCACGCAAAATGTGTTCACGTAAACAGCCAATGAAGTGTCCAACTTAATTCAGTGGTGATTATTAATGATTGAAATTTTGAAGTGTTTTGGCATAGTGGTGTTCATTTTAAGTGTAATGTATGTATGTACTGTAACTACATATCTTGCACTTAAAACCAACTGGGGGATATTCAATGGAATCATATTCTGTACAGCCTTTATGGAATGCTTTCACTTTTGATATTATATTCATGATTACCATGACCCTGTGTCATTGTTTTATCAAATGAATTAAAATGTGATGAGGTACAGATTGACCCATGACCTCTTGCTTGGGTCAGATTTGTTCATTTTAAGGCAATTGTTAACAGATGAGAGAAATGATTCTGGATTTTCTTTTCTCTTTTGTCCTCCTCAGCAACAATCTCCATTTCCTCACTTTTCCGTAAGTATTTGACCCTGTCCACCACTTATAATACTACATAAATGAAATCTAACAAAATCGTTGACTAATTAATATTTTTTTTTTCTGGGATTGAGAAATACAGTAGAATTGCATACCTTTTTATACCAACTTTATCTACTGAATGAAATACAGTATAATGCTTGAATACTAATTACTCATCTTAATGCTTGTTTAATTCCACTCTTTTAAGATCAATTAAAAATTGCATTTTCTAAATTCTTCGCTCATCAAAATGTACCCTCTAAATTACTTGGATTATTTTAAATGCATTTTCTTTGATATCTCCAACGTGTATTTTAGCAGACAAATAAACTATAAGATTTGCACTAGAGAATATTCTTTAGGCCCCTTTAGTTAAACTCTGCTTTCTTCATAGAATCACAATCATAATAACTTTCTCATAGCGCTACCGATACATCCCTTGCCATTTACAAATACCATATAAAAGTCCTATAAATTCTCGTGTCCCTTTCTCTTTTTGAACAAACCAGATTTCAGATTGTGCAGTGTGCACAACTGCCTATTGCTTTAGTTTTGCATGGAATCTCATACATCTGCATCAGGTCTTAATAATTCTTCATTTCAGCTGTGCATTTATATCTATCTTTATTATTAGAAGTACTATTTGCTGTTTGCATGAAAATAATTGCTTGTAGGAGAATGTAGTATTTTTCCCAGTCAAGTGAAACATAACAATACATTATATCAGACAAACTCTAAAAAGACTAAAAGAAGCAGTAATGTAGAGAAAGTCATAATTCTATGTTCATCCTTTATTAGAACATCAATTATCGAGTCTCTATTTTGTACTGTATCTTTATCTATATTTTGCCCTCTATCATCTTCATTTATTTATTTATTCGACTTTACACAGGCAAAAATACAATAAAATATCAATGAAATAAAAGATTGCCGGTGACGGGAAAAGGCCAACAGGTGAACAAATCACACCTCTGATAGCGGCCGATCAGAAGAATGATTATCTAATAAATTGAAATTTATCATAATAAGGACAAAAAAAAAATTGTTTGCCCTCCTCCACCCACCCCTAACTGACTGAAAAAAAATGTGAGTGAATTTATCTTTACCAGATGCCCTACAAATTAGTCTAAAGTTGTTGTCTGATGTAAGATATTGCCATTGTAGGTCTCTGTGGGTTATTTTTTATTCCATCTGACAGTATTTAACAAAAATAAATAAATAAAAAATAAAACTTTTTCCACCCACCTCTATCATTTTTTTTAAAAAAGAAGGGCAAAAAAACAATTTATTTTATATGACCTAATAATGGGCAAAATTGCTTCTTTTGTCTTTTTTGGTGTATTTTAGTGTAATATAATATTATTTAAAATCAGATTACTTGGTATAATGAAAAAGAATATTTTTTTTTGCGTGCTTTATTACAGTATGATAAGATGCCTAAGTTACCTATACCAGCTTTCATGCAAGGAGGACAGCCTATACCCCAACACCCATTACCACATGCCCATGCTCCCCCTGTGCCTATGCCTCCCCACCCGGGTGCAATGCCAGGGACACCAACACTACCACACACACCTGGGGGATCTGGTCTTCTGGCCTTGTCGATTAACTCTCAACCACATATGCCAATCAAAGAAGAAAAAGGTGAGATTTTTCAAAATTATGAGTTTTAAATAAATAATGAATGAATAATGCAATTTAAAATTTTTCTGTTTTTGTATTATGCCCTAAGTACTGCGTGAGTGTCTCAAGCCAGCTACAAAATTGCCTTCAATAAGTAATATAAATAAATAATAATTGAATTTAACATCACAATATAAATCCAGTACGATGTAGATTTCAATTTATATTCTGGAAATAATGACAAATGTACAAATGGTTAAATTAATGAATTGAAGTAAATGATGATTAATTTTGAAAAGGCTCTTACAATCCTAGCAACCAATCAGTTGTATTCTGTGATTTATATCAGAATAAACGGCCATAAATTTATATTCTATATTCATGACGTGCATCTGCAAGGTAACTTCCCTGTGGCCATTTCAGATATGCTCAGTTTCTCTTTGTGTAAATTATACAAATGAATTGATTTAATTCGTCATGTGACAATCCCTCACATAGTTTGGCAACTTCAATTAAATTTGAGGATCAGTGACATAAATTTGTACTGATGTTGCTTACGACAGATGTTTGCAGAGAATTATTGTTTGCATTCATCATTGCGGTATTCCACTGCTGTATCGTGGTCGATAATTCTGGAGGTTTTTCAAGTTATTGAAACCGGCTACGATGTACAGCGATTTTGCATATTTCACCATTTTTGACATGGTTATGAACATTTTCTTATTTTTTTTACTTTACAACTTGATTTTTCATCGTGCTTTCATCTTGCAATGATTCATTAATTGCACCAAACGCCGCTACTAATTACCTGCATTGTTACCATGGTTACACCCATCAGCTGTTGACCGCCAGGTAAGTGAAATATATTTCATTGTGTTCTGAAGCTTCTGATACACAAAAAAAAATTGTACCTAAATGTGCAGACATCTGAATTGCAAAGCTATAATTTCTGTTCTCATGATTGTAAAATGTAATGAGAGAAGAGAACTCTAAATCCCCTCTTGCTTTATGATTCTGCAAATATTTGATTTACCGAAGCAACCGTCTTTGATTTTGCCTATAATCAAACTCGGTCATCAGCTCCTTTATCCCCTCTTCCAGCTTACATACATGAATCCTTCATTTACCTTTCCCAAACTATAAATTTGCTATTGTTTCATATGTCAAACAAGTCGTTGGAGATAACCTTTAAGCTTATGAATAATTGGTTTTAAGTGTCTTTATCAATTTCTTTAAATCTGTCTGGTGTAGTACAGTATCATATTTTATTTTGTTTGAGTACTTCACTATTTATGTAATTGAAAAAATATATTATTATAATTACACATGATGTAAATTTTTATCACTGAAATTTTAAGAATTTGTTCTTGTACTCTCATGCAAATATATTTGATCTGAAATGCATGAAAATTCCAATGAAAATAGTATGATAAATTTTCTGCTTGTTGAAGAAGATAATTTGCAAACTTAACTGGAAAAAAAAAGTACAATTAGAGCGTTGTCACAATGTAGTCGATAACCATTGCTGATTATTTTTTTTTCTGGCGATTTTTTTTTTATCGTCATTCTATCGGTTATTACTAGTAATTTTTCATTTAGTCTAGATTTAAATATTCTTGCGCCAAGATGGTTGACTGTGTTTATGTAGTGTAGGTCATACAACCTAATAATTAGTATTTCAAAAAGCAATCTCAGACTTTTATCATCTTGTTTAACTGCGAGTACTGTTCTTATATTCGTTTGTTTAAACGGTGAAATGATGCGTATCAAGGGCATTGCTTGAAATCACAGCCAGCTTCCGCGATTTTGGTGTTTATTTTCCGAGCTCAGGGAACGTGTGGAAATTCAGTCGTGTGGAATGTTGTGTTAGGCTGCTGTAACTGCGGGAGGTGTATGCTGATGAGGTGAGGGCTTCTTATGGAGTCACCTTTCCACTTTAAATAACTGATAACACTTGCCCACGGCAAGGTACAATTTAACCATATTACAAACCTGCGAGGCGAAATTGAACAGCTCCACGTTACAGCATACTTAATTTGCTCTTGTCTGATTGCTGCATTGTTTGATGTCATTTAATATGCCAAAAGGCTTCTAATCCTTTTACTCTCAGCAGTTGAGTGTTCAACAGTTTTTACTAGATAATGCCCTTAATTGTTGTTAGCCTTCGTGTGACTGTTCTAAGCCCTTTAGGTGGGTCACTTGCATTGTTGCTAGGTAGTGTGGGCAATACTGAACCACTGTGCAGGCAGCAGCAAGTAGAATTTTTCAACAAAGGACAGATTAGAGGCTTAGCTCTGAATGCAGCCTTGCTTTCAAGTGGGATTTTCGCTTTGAAAATTCCAAGAATGTTGTCTTTAGTAACCTTATGTAGTTTTCTTTTCCCGTGGTTGCTCTTGATAGCTATGGCCCATAGAGGAGAACATTTAGTAAGTTCTCTTTCTCCTCATAAACATCTTTGTTAATGTTATTCATGGACTGAAACCTCCCAGCCTGGTAGCCATTTAAGTACCATTGTTGGGTCTTTTAATTCAGTAGCAGCCTGTTTATCTAGCCTAGCTTTATTGTAACAAGAGGCTTAATCCATGATAGACAAAGAACTGAGCCTACAGTAGGTCGAGTTTGCTTTTCACTGTTTATACTTTGCTAGAAATTGTTTCTTTGCAGTTATTCTCTTTAGCTACTTCAATTTGGACAATTTATTGTGCTAATATATAGTGCACCATATATTGGATGAATGACTTGAAGAGAGATCTGTGATTTTCTGGCTATTTCTAAACAATTTGTATTTTGCTGGTTAAATTGGTCGGCGATGAATTATTAGCAAGAGAATCCTCAATATGTCTACTGCCGTTGTTTGCTTTATGCATTGTAGCCTATCACATGTTCCCACAACACTCTCTGTAAGCAGGTGCTTGTAATTTAGATGCTACCGAACTGTTTTGATATGAAATGCTATGAGCGAAGAATGCTAAATATTTATTAACACTAGTTTAATTTGTTATTCTCAATTGTTTGCCTATTGACTAGCCATTGCGACCGTTTAAAAAAACTTTCCACGCCTCAATACCCGGCCTGTATTACTCGTAATAAACAGTTATTGTGTTCACATCAATGGCGTGAATAATTAGAGCATATGATCAAGCAAGTTTCAAAGCCTTTTTGCATGCTCAATGAATAGCTTGTCTGTATTGTTCCAAAAAATATATAATTACCAATGCGTTTTGAACGACATCAATATAATGATTAGGTCGTTGTTTCTTAAACTCAATTTCAATCAACAAACGTTCTGAACCAGTACCGTGTAAACACAATCATATGAAATTAAGGGGGTTTTTTTTGAATGGTTGGAATAAGTTTCCCAATACTTTAGAGGGCATACACAATAAAGTGTAGTGAATTATGTGATGTGGTCAATGGCTAGTGAAATTAAACCTGTTCGTATCTGTCATTTTTACTCTTCTCCATTGCCTTAGTCCTGCATTTACGGCATTGTGTTAACCAATTGATTGCATTCCGAGTGATAAGAATAACGATCCATTGCGCTACATTGATACAGCTCGATAGGATAGACACGTTAGGCACTCCCATGGATAAATTTCTAGCTTAGGTGTTTTAGTCTTTCTAATCTGGTTTTAAAATTAATTCATTGTGAAAATCAATAATGCTATGAGACATGTTTCACTTGCACAGTAATATATATTTCTAAAAAGCTAATAATATGCCCTACCAACTGGGTACTTCACCGCTTTAATACTAAATGCTAGTAAATGTAATTCAAAAGTATCAAATTTTATATTTATTGCTTAACAGACATGTTATGTTTATATGATATTCATCATGATCTCTGATTGGCCAATAGATGGGAATATTTCATACATAATTCATGAGTTTGGATCGAATTGCCAAGTTTCATCAGGTCATGATTTGAAGGACTCAAGTATTTTTTTATGCTGTACCTCATTTAATGACATTGTAAAGTGATACCTCTCATAAGTTTTCCTGCCCTGTTTTGCCACAATTCAATTGATACCGATTCTATACTCACTGATGCGTGCAGTCACTGTTGAGACTGTTCACTGACTGTTGGTTTCACGCATGAGCGGCTCTTGGGAATTAGATGTAAACCGCTGTAGCCAGGCTGCTGAGAGTCACGCTATATTCACTGACGACAATAGCAGTTGGATAGCGAGTTAAAATGAGGAATGTTTACTCTGCGTGCAGTGTTGTCAGATTGATTATTTTTGGTTTATAAATATACGACTAGTGCAGTATAGGCGAGAGTAATTGAGTCTCAAAATGAGCTGCCAGTGCTGGTAGCATACAAAATTTTTGTTGCCATGGTTGTGGCAATATTGATAGATTTGAAACCTGTGTTGTATATGTCATTCGGATTTGTGTCCCATAAATGGTGACAAATGGTGCTGCCTGTCCTTAGAATAATGAATCAATCTATAAGAATAAGTCGAAATTATAATTAAAGCTCTGCTAAAATGTGGACTTGTACTTTTTATCATTTTAATAATAGAACATTTCTGATTCATAAATATGGTAGTAATTGTTGGTAAATACATGCCTAATCTTTGTTATAATATGCTGGTAGAAATTCATTTAAAACGATTTAAAGCCATCTTTTCTGTTCCAGCAGTATTTCTGAGCATGCTCATTTAAAAAATCTAGTCATGTGATCATCCACCGCATATTGATTATCAGCAGTATTTTTAATTATCACTTAGATTTATTAATTTTTTTCCCCGAGTCATCTCGAATTGCTATACCTGCCACTTCCCCGGTAAATGTTTATACAGCTGAATATTGGCTTCTCAGTTTAGATCTGTTAAAATGCAGCAATGCTCGAGAGATTCATACGACTACCGCTTTGTTAGCACAGATTCTTGATCGCTCGCTCATACTTATGTCCGTCAATGAAATTTGTCACTTCACAAAACACTCTGTAATAACATAATGAGTATCAAGTGCTTTTCATTTCGACATCCAGTTTAATTTCCACAGATTGAACAAAATTACAGTCCTGTTTTCGTTGCGAGGTGTCAAAACCAAATCTTAGCCGAAGAATTAATAAATTATCCAAGCCAATCTCGAATGACCAACATGAAGCAATTAGGTGCAATTAATATTTTCACCTAATTGAAAAATTGAATGTGCTTGTGCATATTTTTCATCATGATTGGATGTAATTTAACTGCCTCATAAATATTCATAGAAATTGTAATTGCAAATGAACTGTCTTGTTTTCATAAGCTTGGTAAATTTTCTCAAGATCCAGAAGACATGGACAGTATTGTCATATAATTTCAATCCAAAGGCCGAACGGGCAATTAAATACCTGCATAGCGGGACCTACTGTACACATTGCTTCAATCTCTGTAATGAACTGTGTTTTCTTAACCTGCTTGACTTCGCTTAAGCTGAGGTAACAATTGTACACATTCAAATTAACATATTCTTCGCATTTACTGCCTCAATTTAGATAATGTACAAACATATTTTGGAATATATGTTGAGCTGAAAAAGACATAGTATTTTATGATTCCTAATATTTAGCCTTTTTTTGCTGCTTTAAAAAAATATCTTAATTTTATGAAAAATAAAATATTTTCTAATACAAACAATTTAATGTCAGCATGGTAAATATTGCCATTGTATTGTAGTAGCCTGTTTTTAACATTTTAAATTGTATATGAAACAATGATATAATGTAAGAATTCAAATCTACTCTATGTATACTTTGTACAGGAAGAGCAAAAGAAATTGATCATAGCATGTTTTTTAAAGAATGAATGCTATTTACTGTTAGGGTATAGGCAGCAAGACTAATTACCAACAGCTGCTAAAATATTTAAATAAAAACCTGCAAATTTAAACAAGGTCAATTAAATACCCAAAATATATACACTCAATTTGATAAAATTTCAATGCCACACTATTTAATAGTGCTGTAATGTATTTTATGTAGAAGCTTAGGCCAAGACTCAGAAGCGCTCATTATTGAGTATGCATTAAAAGAATTGCATTGGCTAGGGAGTTGGGCCAGAATTTTTATTGAAAAACCTTCATATGATGGATGTTGAACTGTTGCCTTGTATGCATCTAGCAAGTCGGACTGTACGCGTTGCTGTCCAGTCGTCATCTATTCCAGACGCCATCCATGACAGCACGAGTGTGCACTGCATGTCTGATGCCTATACATAATGACTTCGATCTGAGACAAGCAAACGTGATCGTTTTGTAGACGCAGATAAAAAATGACGACGGTCTAGGTTTTAGAGATTGATATAAATGGTGTACTCTTAGGTATGTCGGTGAAGTATCGTTGCTGATATTATCTGAATAATGTTGATTGCATATGATAATAAAGCAGAATGAATAGGATCATCGTATTTCAAATAACTCCGTGTTAGCCTCATCTGATTACTGTACTACATAGTTTCGAATCGTAAAATAACTTCAGTACCGGAATGCAAATTTCAATGTTTTTTTATGACATGGATATACAGTAAGTTGAGGGTTGTTCAACCATAACTCTAAGCTAATGGATTGTTTAGAGCAAGCAATGTCAGTAGAGTTTATTTTAACGTCTACACAAATGATTAAAAAAAAAACCCCTTTCTAATATTATGCATATACCAAAATTGCAATATTCCAGTATCTATCAATAATGAAGGAGGCCCTCTATTATAAATAGTAATTATATTGTTAGGCTATACGACATTGGTTAAATCAGCATAATTGTATTATAATAAAGAAGGGGAATACAAACGTATTATACATTTTTTTTTTAATTGTAGGTTTCATAATCTTTTTATTTATCCTATGAATTATATTTCCAATTATTTGTGTTCTACTGGTTTATGACTTGTGTTTCATTGATACCTAGCTGATTAATTTCTGAAAAATGTCCCATGGAATTACAGTCTCATAATAACTCACTATACTCTTTCAGTTTTCTGTTTATCCAGGCAGCTCTTAAGATTTTCTAATATAATCATGTAGATGACTAGTCCTAAAGAGTAAAGATAAACAGTAACAAATAATTATAAAGATACTGTATTTTTGGTTAATAGAAAGGTTGTTATTGCCTTTATTTTTTGCCGTGGATGTTACCTGCTATAGGATGGCAGCCATTCGTTGATTGCAATTTGCTAATTACAGCGGTTTAAACTGGGAGCTTGCTTTAGGCTTGTGTTGAAAGCAGGACTCTGTGGAGTAATCAAAAACGCACAGCAAACACTTCTCTGACATCTCCATATTGATTCGGTTCTGTTTGTCCATACATTTTTCGAGTGGACAAAAATGAGATTGTTTGAACTTCGTGGTTGTGCATATATACTCAGTGTGTTTACCATGCAGTATGTACTCACCAGTGGAATTAAACCTGCATGTTTTGCCAGGCAAATGCTCTATGTAAACAGACATGTCTAATTGAGTATTGACTAGGTAAACTATAGTGTAAAAGAAAAACCAGAGATGTTGCTATGGGCACATGTCTATGAGATTGTATTCTCTAGGCCTAGGTTGCAGTTAGGCAAGCAGTGGGAGTAGAGGTGTGTCAACAGAGCTTTCTCAGAGTGGTTTCAGCGATGTTTGCATGTGTGTTGTGGTGAAATTGCTTAACTTTAGGCTTAACACTCGGAACAAATCCCTCAAACATATTTATTTGATTGGCATATTCTTGCTTAGCACACACATCTTCCTTATACAAACAGTTTGCACTTTAAAAACTTATCTGGTTAACTGATCGATTGACAAAGTTACAGAATCCAACTGGCTGACCACGCCTAAATATTTCTCATTTAATTATGCATATCACTTCTCATCGACTCATTATTTTCCTGTCTTTACCACTTACCCAAAACGAGTAATTTCCAAACTGACATATTTATAGCAAATACATGCTGTGTGTAATTAATAAAATATATTTTTTTTAAGTTGATGATTTCCATGATTGCGATATAAAGGGAAGATGAAGAATCTGGACGGATACAGAATTTTGCCAAAGACAGATATTTCTTGGCTTGTGTAGACATTTTGGAATTTTCAAAGTGATTACACTGATTACACTGTGAACGGATTTATTAGGCAATGTTTTCCTAGGCCGTAAAATACATATTTGAGAAGCCACACTTTCTTTGTAGGAAATTGGCCACTTATGGCTAGTGTTCAAATAAAGCCAGGCTTACTACATTTATGGATAGAGCCAGAGGTGTATTTATTTTTGGACTTATCAGGCAGATGGCTAGTGAATACTATTAATTTATAACCTGAGTGAGGCCTTGTCAGTCTTGTATACTTCTAGATCCCACTCAATTGGGCTTTTTTTTGTCCTGATCTTTACTTAATATCATAGTGTAGACACTCAAATTCTGCATTCAAAAATGAGTTTTATTTTTTGTAGCAATGATTGCTTTCGTGTCTAGTTTTTTTTTTATGCTGTAACGATAATGTTTTCAAATTGATAAGATATGACACTCAGTTCTCGTTGGATGCTATTATGTGCCAAGCGAAATGTAAAACGGAGCGCACAAAGAAAATTTTCCGTCCATCTCGTACGCAATGTGTTTAAATCATTCTCATCTTATGTGGTATCGTCATGACTCTGGAATCCTTTTAAGCTGACCGATCGCTCTTGAATGTGATAATACAATTAGTGCGTCAGCTTCAGTGACCATAATTGTCACTCGTTTGTCACATATGGTCACAGACCTAGCACAATACTTCATCTGTAACTGTACATAAATGTCATTTGGATGGTGATCTATGTGCCACTCCTCAGTTTACTTACCTTTTTGAGTTGATACTCGGCAACCAATAAGGCCACAGCATACACGTAATAATACACTCACTATAGGCTCACAAACCATCTGAAATATGTATCCATTGGTTGTAAATGTAAAAAAAATTAATAATTTTTGTTTTTTTTTAATTGATATTTTTTTTTTCTTCCTTAGAATTCTCTATCACCATCTGGAAGAAACTCAACAGAAAAGTACAGAGACCGAGAAAGAGATAGAGAACGAGAGAGGGAGCGAGAACGTGAACGAGAACGTGAAAGGGAACGGGAACGTGAACGTGATCGGGATCGGGATCGGGATCGTAATAGTCACGACATCAGTGAGAATCTTAACAACAAAAACAAAAGGAAGAGAGATGATAAGGACTCAGTAGTAAGTTGTTACATCAGTCATCTGATTTTTTTGTTTATTTTAGTTTTTCATAAACAGCATGATTAATTTTTAAATATCCAGCGTAGAATTTCGTTTCTTGACTAAATTGCTCTTCTTTTTTTTTTCAGGAAAGTGATGGAGAAAAAAGTGATGAGAATTTAGTTGTGGATGTAGCAAATGAGGTAAGTAAAAATTAACTTTAAATAGAACATCACCATTGTACATTTTATAAAATGGATATGCTGCACAATATTTAAAAAAAAACAAGGTTTTAATATTGAATAATGAATGATAAGTAAAGAATAGACTAAAACACATAATTTTGAATTCTGTAATGTGAGATACAGCATACATGATTGCTTCTAAACATACAGTACCTTGTAATCCAAATGTTTTTTTTTTTTTAGAGACAATTTTTCTTACATCTTGTATATCATACATAAGAAATATAAATTTGAGATTGTAGATTTATTGCACTAAAATCAAGGTGAATAAATAGTTAATAATGATCGGAAATATTAAACAGAAAATATTATAATTTTTTATTCTAAATCATACTGCCCACACATTTTGACTTTGTTATACAGCTGTCATTCTTTATTTATCAATAATCTCTTGACTGCTTCTACAACTGAATTCCAAAAAAAAAAAAAAAAGAAAGAAGTAGTAGTAAAATACAATATTCTGAACCATATGCTTTAATAGCTACCAAGAGATACCTAGCGAGAATAATAAAGATACAATAAGCTCTCTCTCTATAGTGAATACTGTTAAAGCCTCTATAATATTAACAAAATTAAGGAAAAAAGCTATTCCAATTAACAGCGTTATCCTGATCATTACTGATGTGTGAAACCTTATCAAACACTTGCCTATATCATTATGATTCATCTCAATACTTTCGTTTTATGCATTTTAGAGGGGATTTTTTTAATGTAAATTGTTTTTTAGTTAGGACAAGGCAGAAAGTTTCTCAGCTACAGGATAATAATGAAAACAATAAGGTTAACCAAATATTATTCTTTTGGCAATAATATGGTCTGTTATTATATACTTAATAATTTCGTATAGTTTTTTTTTTTTTTTTTTTTTTATTGTTGTGGATATTGTGTTATTCTTACATAGTACAAAGCAGTCCGGATGATTGTGTTAATCATTATTTGAAGACAGTAATAAATATAGAACATCAGAATATTAAAAAATACAAGTTCATTTAACTAAGAAAATTCTTTATAAAAAAATAATGAAGTACAAAATATTATTTGCATTTCTATGAGGTAGAGATAATTTATATTATGACAGAGCTTAACCCTGTTGTTAGTAATGATTCCATGATCTGTTTTCTGAGGGAGATGTCAAAACATTTGATCATAGCGATAAGACATTAGCGCAGAGAGGGCCCATTGCTTACATATCAAATATGGTTTATAATTGACTCCATACTCGCCTAACTGCAGCGTTATAACACAGCGTGTTGGTGTGAGTCGGCCGTGGCCTTCAGTTCAATTTAGGGGGAAACCTTAGATATGTAAGCTCATTATTCTCTTGCTGTGAGCAAAGCTGATATGTTATATGCCAGAATTAATCAGTCCCAGTTACTTGTTTATATATAGTGAAGTAGATTATGATAGAGGGCACTTCTTTAATGCTATATCACTGAAATAATTATAACTATGGAGCCCTGTGTTATTTGTTAAATTTATGTTAAGATACTAGTTAATACTAAGTTAATAATAATAATCCATACTAAGTGAACATTACTATTGATGATGATAATATTATAATAGTGATAATAATGACAAACTAAAGAAAAACATCTTCAAAAGCTATGTAGGTTTGTGAAAAAAAAGACATTTATTATATCAGTGATTCTTGTATCGTAAGAATATTTGATACACTATATTCCTGAATGTTCAAGTTATTAGTCATTTTTTTTTATCATTTTCAGGAACGAGAATCACCGATAGCCAATGGTGAGAGGCCTTCGCCCAGAGATAGATTGGACAGTGATAAGCACCGCCCTAAGAAGGAGCGTTCTAGCACCCCAAACAGTATTGCTTCATCTAGTGCAAGTACACCAACATCTTCAAAAGCTAAAGAGGTTTGTGAAAAAAAAAATGTATTATATCAAGTGATACATTTGAAACTAGCTTTTGCAATTCTGTTTTCTTATTCTAATAGCAGCCTCCTTGTGAACGAGTCAACCATAATCTCTAAATCCAACAGATTATAGAGATTATCAATCACCATATATGGATTGCTTTTCTTCTGAAGAGATTGTTATGGATTAAGGAATATAAAAGATCAAAGTATATTCTCAAGCCAAGTTTTTTTGTTTTTTTTTGTGTATTCAGAATGACAAACCAATATCACCAGTGTCAAAGTCAGTCACTCCTACAAGTAGTGGTGCACCCACCCCAAGTAGCTCCGCCGGTAGCAGTCTCAAGCAAGTCAAAGTTCAACCACTTGGTAAGTTTGATGGTTTTGACATCGTGAAAACCCATTGTGCCTGACATGTCAGACACAGTGTACAAAAGGTGTAGATTTGGTTTACACATAGTGAAACCATGGAGGAAAGAAAGATTCTTCCATGGTGAAACACTGTATACACATTACATAGATAAGGCATACACATAGTGAAGGTGTGGTGTACACATGGTGAAAACACAGTACATATCATGATATGTGAGACATAATGTTACATGTATTAATTCATTCATTCATCATAACATTTATTTCCATCAAAATGTATCATATCAAAGAACACTACTTTAAGATAATTCTTTCTGGGATAGTCAGATATAAAACAACAGTATCAATAAAAATGAACTACATCAAAATATATCAGAAAACAGTTACTGCATACAAATTATGCTGTAACTCACCATGTAGACATGGTGCAAACATTTGATGACAGTGGTATAGACATGGTCTGTACACATGTGATACAGTGTAGACAAGGCCACCATCCTTAAACATGTGATAACAATGTAGACCATGTGGACACACATTGCAACACGTGTGATAACAGTAGTTTTTAAATACTGTAGTTTTTGTTTTATCAACCAATGTACTTTCATTTCTTCTTTTCAATTTTGCTTGTGATGTTTACTGAACAAAGAATATGCTTTATATATTAAGGGAAGTATGTAAATTCTGTTGTTTAAAAACTTTTTGTTGAAATAAAAACACAGCAAGAAAGATTGGAATTTTATCCGAATTTGAAAGCTGACCTTTGGATTTAAAGTTTAAAAGCACTCCAAATTATTTTGAAAACTATTTGAGTTTCGAAACCAAAATATTAAACACTAATATCTGGAATATGAGCTGGGTTGTTGGGGAGAGATATGGTGAAAATGAAAGTTGCAATCTACTTTTCTCGTGTGAATCAAACATGCATGTTATGTTAGTACTCGTTTTGTCCTGTTGTTTAATGTTTTGTGGTTTTTTTTTTGTGTTTTCCCCTCTTTTGATTCAGCATTACACACTCCCCCTTCTTCTATACCAGGGCATTATCCGTTCATGCATCCTGGAGGTCACGGCATCAACCCAGAACTACCAGGACAATATCCGGTACCCGGCATGCAACACAACATTTCCCCAGGCGCCTTGAATCCCTACAGTCGCACCCCAGTGGGGGTAAGTCTTTCAATCAATTTAAATTAACTTATAAAAAATATTAGTACTAAAATGTAAATTATAAATCACATATCTGAAAAAGTTACTGAGAGGCTGATTAAACATAAAATTACTATAAAAAGACAATAAAGGATGATAAATGATTTTATTTAGTCACAGTAAAAAACTAGTAATTATAATTAATTCAGTTTCATTCTATTTCTATGGTTTATTGATATATATTTTCCTTTTATATGTATTTGTGATAGATTAACATTTTTTTATCTTCATCATTGCAGTTTAATGGTTTTGAACACCAATCAAGAATATCTGGAATGGCGGGAATTCCGGGTGGTAAACCGTAAGTATTAGGCGTATTGCTCTTAGTGTGTGTATTACTTATTTGGACTAAAGAGGAGAACAGTGGCATTGCACTGATCAGGAAAATGTTTTTAGGGAAAATGCAAAGTTCTGAATTTTTTAATTTTAGTGAATTGCTTCTAAGATGTTAAGACAAAATTATATAATGTATTGAGAAAATTTTAACACTGGAACTCCACTTTAACCTTATCTGGTTCTTAGGAAGTTTTAATACTGCTCCCTAAATCTTTGAAGCAAAATCATGTTCTGAGTCACATGAGCATGTGTATTGATTTGGACCATGTGATAATAGACTGCGTTGACAGATATTTAATCCATGTAGTTAGTTGAACTTTAGAATTAGAATACATTTGCTGGAGGGTGCTTTATGGCTTTATTAAAATACAGATAAAACTATACATATTATAAACATTAACTTGGTGTTTTAGGGCATATATTCCTTTATTTAAGCGCTATAGGCACATGTAATCTGTACTCTCTGTAATGGACGCTCTGATTGGTTCATTGATTGCACCACCATCCTTATCACATGACCATATGCATTGATTTGAAGCATGTGACAGCAAATGTTATAGGCATTTAATCCTCAGTTTAATAGATGTCTGCATTAAATTAATATACCCTTGCTACAGGGTAATGTGGCTTAATTTATTATTGATTTTGAAGTAAAAATGAAGATTACAAACTTGATTTTGATGTTGCAGGGCGTATTCATTTCATGTGAGTGCTGATGGGCAAACGCAGCCTGTCCCCTTTCCACCGGATGCTCTCATTGGTTCAATGATTCCCCGTCATGCTCGACAGATAAACACCCTGAACCACGGGGAGGTGGTGTGTGCCGTGACGATAAGTAACCCTACAAGGCACGTCTACACAGGCGGAAAGGTGAGTAATGAAATGCACCCACATGTATAATCTTCTTATACATGCACAGAAATGAACTTGAGCATGTTGCTCCCATTTGTAAAGGCATGAACTTGTGCAGTCCATGATTCATTTGGTTACAAATTTCATTAAATGTTTTGTTTAAATGATCTGCATAGCACAGTCGACTGAGCTGGTGGTAGACACTGTGTGAGAGCTAAATCATGGAGTTCAAATTGTGCACTGCATATTAATAGAAATGAAACAATATGAATAATAATGACACTCATTTGCAACCCACATGCCTGAATCAATGAAAATTTTTTATAAATATTTTTTGAACAAGAAATTATATTCCAGAAATGCAAACTATCTGTAGTCATTTGTCATTGTATTGATTTAAAAACAACAAAATATGATTGCCCTTGTTATGGTCAATGAAAACATTATATAGTAAAAAAGTACCAGCATCTGTTATTAATATTATATAGACAGAGCTTAATATGTGGTAAATATTATAATTAGGTTAGACTTCTGTTAATACTTGATTGTTTCCACTTACAGGGTTGTGTAAAGGTGTGGGACATCAGTCAACCCGGGAACAAGAGTCCAGTTTCACAGTTAGATTGTCTGAATCGAGATAATTACATCAGATCTTGTAAATTACTACCAGACGGCAGGACGTTACTTGTAGGGGGTGAGGCCAGCACCCTTTCAATTTGGGATCTAGCAGCAGTAAGTATACGTCAGCTTATATTAGTATAGCAGATTTACTATTTCATACAATTTAATACTATTATACAATTGCAATGCAAGTTGTAATGCAAGTTACAATGTAAGCTCTGGTAGTTGCCTACCAGATTCTTTACCTTTGAGTTAAAATAAATTTATGGATTTTGAAAAAAGTTATGCTTCACAGAAACATTTATGCTAATTTATTATCTTTCAGCCAACACCACGTATAAAAGCAGAACTTACATCCAGTGCACCTGCGTGCTATGCTTTGGCCATAAGCCCAGACTCTAAAGTTTGTTTTAGCTGTTGTAGTGATGGTAACATTGCAGTATGGGATTTGCATAACCAAACGCTAGTCAGGTAAGTTTTACTGTAGAGTTAAGGTAGTGCATAAGAAAAAGTGGAATCGGCCGATTGTAAATATGCACACTGTAAAATGTGAACACAGAAGAGCGCCCTCAGTGCCAGGGTTGTCTCGGCCAGCACATCACAATTATACCTCAATTATACAGCCCAGTGTAATATGAAAATTGCATCTGGTTTTAAAACTGATTTTTGAAGATCAAAGTTTTTTTGTGTGCATTGTGTAAACTGTCGTATGGTGAACTGAAAGTCTTTGTTTTTCCATTATTCTTCTTTGATCTATGGACCAATATTTTTTTTAATTTTATGTGTCTGTTTATTTTAGGCAATTCCAGGGACACACAGATGGTGCAAGTTGTATTGATATATCTCCTGATGGTACCAAACTGTGGACAGGTGGTTTAGATAACACCGTCAGGTCATGGGACCTTAGAGAGGTAAAAGCATTTATGAAAATAATTATTTACAATTATATATATATTTTTTAAAGTAAAGCAGGATTTAATTTTTCCCAATACAGTTCACCATCTAATTTGAGACCACATTTAGGACCTGAAAATTTGTGGTAGTCTGTGGTTTTTGTCTCCACTTAGAGGGTTAAATTTGTGTTATAAGATTGAAGATTTTTATTTGTTTCTCTGCAAAAATGATCTTGAATTAGGGGAGTTTCAAAATTAGATGTCTCGAATTGGTTGGTGCACTCTGTATTAGTCTAAAGCCTTATTATTGTTTTAATGATAGCATTAATGTTACAATATGAATTTCAAGCTAATTTTTTTTTTTACCGAAATGTAAAAATTATAAAATATTTACACAAGTCACAGTGTGATACATTTAGTAATTTTAAAAGCCCTGCTTGGGGTCCATATGGCGGTTTATTCTGTGAAGACAAGTTGTAATTCCATGAACATGAACAATGTTTTCCTGATTATTATTAATGTCCTTTTGAATGTCTTTATTTATAGGGTCGTCAGTTACAACAGCATGACTTCACATCACAAATTTTCTCCCTTGGTTACTGTCCTACAGGCGACTGGCTTGCTGTTGGGTAAGTGAATGTGTTTTACTTGTAGTGTCTATGCAGGAGAATGTAATGACCTGAACTTCATTACACATTGCATGTGCAAACCATGAGGCCTGTTCCAGAATAATTTGCTGTCTGTTCCAGCCAGTGTTTAGTCACATAAAATCAAAGATATTGTAATAACAAGATAGCATTTTCCGTGGTTTGCATGTAACAAACAGAAGCATCCAATTCACGCAGGTAACAATACAAAGTAATTGTAATTGCGAGACAGCGTCCTACTCCTACGCTGCATTATTACAGAATTTGCACGCAGAAATTGCGGAGAACGCTATTTTGTTATTGTAAGATCTTTTGATACAAATATAGTTCTTGTTTTCCAAAGCTCAAAATTATTATCCCTAAATTTAAATTATGAATAATTGAATGAATTATTATTCAATTTAACACCTCATATAATCTTGTTTTGTTTTTCGTTACAGAATGGAAAGTAGTAATGTTGAGGTGTTACACCATAGTAAACCGGACAAGTACCAACTTCTCTTACACGAGAGCTGCGTATTATCACTGAAGTTTGCACACTGTGGAAAGTGGTTTGTTAGCACAGGCAAGGACAATCTGCTCAATGCATGGAGGACACCCTATGGGGCTAGCATATTCCAGGTAAGGTTTATTAACTTACTAGGTGTATTAGAAAGTAATATTTTTGATTCAGGTCTTCAGATTGTAAAATAAAAGTAAAGTACTATATCATGATTTCTGTAAAAATGTTTTTAAAAGCCCTATTACTAGGTTGTGAGGCAGAATAGACTACTTAGAATACATTTTAATTTTTATATAATTGTTCTTATGACAATAGATACCAGTATTGCAGTTTAGTATACACACATATAAGCAATGCTCTTAGTAGTGAGCCTAAGGCTGGGTAGTCACTGTACCTGATGGCAGTCAGCTGAGGCAATTCTATGGAGAATGCAATCGCACGATATGCGCGCAATGGATCGTGTTTAATGACGATCCGTTCAGACTGCCATCAGCATCGCATCGTCTAGCGCTCTCAGTGGGCAAAGTTAGATTCGTCTAACGACCGTCGTACGATGGTTTTTACAACGCTGTGAGTGCAGGGCTTTAGTTGCTCTAGTATATACAAACGCAAGTGACACCAAGAGATAAAATGTGTGGAGAATCAATTATATTAATGTTATTGTCATTGATATATTACTATGTATATTTAATATTTAATTCTGTTAACTATAAAATGTTAGTCTATAACATGTGTTTCAAATATCATCCCCTTATATTATTTGTTCAGGGTTAATATAGGTTAGTCATTCGATTCTACAAAAATCTAATAAGAATTTGTTATTGTTCCACAGTCCAAAGAATCATCGTCAGTGCTCAGCTGTGATATATCTGGTGATGACAAGTATATAGTAACTGGTTCCGGTGACAAGAAAGCAACTCTGTACGAAGTAATCTATTGATGATTCCGATATAAATCATCGATTCTGATAGTGATTTTGTCATTATAGAGACCCTGCTTACTCAGTTTTTTGAAGAAACAATGAGTTGGTGATCAATGATCGATAGAAGCGGGCAAAACCTGAATCCTTTGATTAAGGAAAATATGTGCAACTGTCTATGATTAAAACTTGCCGAAATGTCATCTAAAAAACGCGATTTGCTCTGCTGTATAAAATTACCGTGTGTGTTCGTGAAATCTCCGCATCTCCCACAGAGAACTTTGATTTCATAAAACGTGGACGTCAATTTCGCTGTTTTATTAATTCCTAGTGATTTTGATAGTGAAAAACATTCAAGTTCGGATGAAAATGTGATATTTATTTAGAGAAGACGGTACCTTGTATGATGATAAGTATATATATGATCGTGCAAAAGTCCAATGTGGCAGACAGGTATAGCGCCTTGAGAGTAGCCTGGAAGGTCGTTGGTTCATTTCAATGATGCTGGAGATAAACCTAGTAAACCAAAGTATGTCATTACAGATGACAATATCTCACAGAGTTTTAATGTTATGTGTATTAGGTGTAATGACTAGTAGTCTGATCAGCCACTGAAAATGTATGTGTATTATATGGTATTTGGTCACTTTACACACAGAACTTTCTATTGGTGTATTGTTAGCAGTGCAAACTGCTGCAAAAAAAACAATAACAGTATTTCATGGGAAAATGAAGCCTTGTAAAAACCATTAACAAAATTTGAAATGATGACGACGACAATATATATAGATTAACCAGCGGATTAGCTACATTTGAACTATAAACTTTGGTGTTTTGTAATGCAAGATACCAACATTTCCCTAGTAGTCCTTACCTCATAAAACAAAGAAATGATCATTATTTAAACATAAGTGTTATGGAAGTTATTGTTATTGTTTTTGCTTTGTGTGTGTTTTTTGGTAGAGAAGTGCTGTGTTGTGAGATTGGAGATGACACTGACATTGTAAAAATTACTGTAAATAAGATGACTATGTGTGTTCAGTAAAAAAGGTTGTTAATAGTTTTCCATTGTCCTAATTTGATTAGTTGTTTGTTTCTGTAATGAGGTCAGAGGATGTAGAGATTCATGCTATAAAACACATCTGTGACAAAAAGTTCCACTTGTCAGCCCATTAATAAATCCATGCACTGTAGATAGTGATAGTTTTCCTGTAACAAGAATGTTGTCAAGTGCAGTTTAGTGCAAAGTACGGTGGTTTTCCATACAGTGAACGGTTGTTCTGGGTTAACTTGTTTTGTTATACAGATATATAACAATCAGATCTTGATAATTAATTTTCTATTAGATCGAAGGGCATTGTTAAGTTCATATTCAATTACTTGTATAGAAAAAAACGGTGTACACATTCGGATGCTAAAACGGTGTCGTGCAACCTTATTGGTATTATGGCTGGTTAAGTGTCTAGGGTTATTACTCCATACAGTAAGTCTTATAATTAAATTTTAATGAAGATATCAATTCAGTTTTACTTTATATCTCGAGGCATTTATAAATTCAAACAGATAGTTTTCTGGATGATGATAATGAGTTGTTTTTCTGTGGTTTAAAAAGTTTTAGCCTTGGTAGAGACTGTCATATTCAAATAAAAGTTACAATGTTGAGGGCAGTATTTGTGCTCAATTCAAACAACATAACCACTTTACAATGCAAATCTCATTTGTTGTCACAAAGGACAAAATATTGTGGTGTTTACTCCATCAAATTTACTTTTTTATTGTATTTCTTTCTTTTCCATATTTAGTCATTTTAAGAGGTCCATATCTGTACATGTTGCCATGACAACCAGGAAAAAGATAATTCAACCGAATAAATGGCGTGGAATCATTTGTAAAATTTTGTCAATGACTTTTTGTTTCAACTGTACAGTAGTATTGTAATTAGAGTGATAGAGGTGCTAGAGATAGTTGTGTTAGAGGCACTAATGGGTGCAGAGGTTTTGGATGGACTAGTTTGGTTGTCATAAGAGTGCCCAAGGAACAGTAGTGGTGTTAAAGGGAGATAATAGGAGTGGCAGATGTAAAAGCAGTAGTGATGGAGAGAAAAGTGGTATAAGAGTGGTGTACCCACTTATGCTCGTGAGTGGAGAGAAGCAGTGCAGATAAAGTGCCTTGCTCGAAGACAAAAGTGAAATGCAAAGCGAGGGATTGAAACCCTGGCATCAAAATTGGGAAACCAAACCTTCACTGCTGTGCCAAACCACTTTTATACTATACTTTATTAGGACACTGTAATAACAGTTGCTGAAAGAAAACAAATTAGCAGGGCCTCACACCCCAAGTCACCCCCATTGAAAATGTTTGAACCAAAAAAAAAAAAAAAAAAAAAGGGCTCAAGCTCGATTAGCTTTGGCTATTTTTCTTGGCTCCTATTGCATACCTGTATTCTTTTTGTTGTTTTGTATGCAATAAAGAGAAAGAGCCTATGGCTATTTATATTTTCTTCTGATTGGTCGTTTAATTCATTTCATTGCGTCAGAATATTTATATTCACAGCAATTGTAGTACAGTATATAGGCACTCAGACTCTGTTAAGTTCCTATTATGTTAAATGTAGATATAGCGCCCTCTATGTTATGAAAATATCGCTTTACGGTACTTCTGATCAATCACCAACGCCGGATTGACTTCATTGTGTTATGCATAGCTGTCGGAAGCGTTTTGGAAGTGGTCTGGCCATTATAAAAGCGGGATGGAGGCGAGTCATACCCACCTCAGCCCCACCATAGTTGGGCTGAGGTGCGAAAATTTGAGGAAATACTAGGCCTACCTCTAGATGGCAGAAAATGACACTCATCACATCACCATTATAGTCAAAATGAAGCGCCAACAATTTTCTCATGAACTTTTACCATGATTTTTGGCAACCATAGATCATTAGTATGTGTGATGAGACCATAGAAAATAAGACTTAACACCGTCTTTGATGTATTTACTTTACTTTATCACTTCAAAGATAAAATGCGAGTCCACACCCATCTGGGGCTGAGGTGTGAAAATTGTTGGAAATAAATAGTATCTCTAAATGGCGGATAATGACACTTTTATATAGTAAAAATGAAGCACCAACAAAAATCCCGTCTCCCCATGATCTGCACCAACTGGTAACCAGTACAGCCACTACCCGGTCCCATCAAGGGGCGGACACAACATTATGGTTGACAAAAATGGCTCCTTTGCCGGGAAATAGCACATGCATTTAAATATAATGTCCCTCACTTTAAAAGGGTGATAAATTTAGATTGCAAGTAATTATGGCCGGCTTGACCATTAATACCTTTGTGTCACATAACAGCCTAGGCCTATACTGATTCCATCGGAGTCTTTTTTTTTTAAAGTCGATTCTTATCCTACAATCATCAACATAATAATAATTATCGACATCATCATCACCGTCAACATCATCATCATCATCATCATCGCCATCAACATCAATATCATCATAACCACCATTATTATTATCATCGTCGTCGTCATCGTCATAAAGGAATGGCGCATTAGAAAAAGAATATGAATTGTTTTTTATACCACTCCAGGTGGCGTTTTACATCAACATTACTCAATGGACTACGAAGGAGACTTTACAATTACAGTAATAACAAATGTGAGTACAGTATTGAACATTTTGCATCGTTAATTCACTAGTTAAATGGGAATTCTGGCATCATTCTATGGTTATTATTTTGACTACGTTTGTTAGGCAGCCGCATTGAAGGCATTGACAATTTCCTCGACAGAAACATGCACTGACATGCTGCATTCTATTCGACAACATACATTCCAAGTGACTCGCTAATACCACCGAAGACCTGCAACTGGCTAAAAAATGTTATTTACAGGAATTACAGCTTAGGGCTTGTTAACTTCCGTTCGTTGTTTACATTGTAGATTCGTATCTGTTTTTTTCATTGACAATATATGCAGTTTATTACCAAGATCTGGTACACACAACTTTTAATCCTGAACAATCGAAATTTGTTATAGTTCGACAAAAATATTTTCTATATTAGGCCTATTTTAAAGGACAGCGAAATTGATCGGGGTAGGCCCAAATGACACCGTTTTTATCAATATTGATAATAATATCTTCATGGATGTGTACTTCCATGATGTCGATATCAGATAAAGCTACTACTGTAGTGATGATCCTGAAATTCGAAATAGAGGGGATCCAGGGAGGACTTTCACATTTGGATTTATGATTATGTCACTTTAATGGTCCATTCTCTAGATCAACTCGCTCTAGATGGCCAGAAATGACTTAAATATGAATACAATTTTCTCTTTTTTTCTCCATTTTCGAATTAATTTTTGAATAATTTAGGTGGTGGCCGGTTGCACACTTCCCCTTTTCGAATATACAGAGCAGTTGAGCATGTTTATAGAAGATTGTAATAATAATAATAATAATAATAATAATAATAATAATAATAATAGGCCTAATAATAATATGCCTAATAATAATAATAAAAATAATAATAATAATAATAATAATAATAATTATTATTATTATTAATAAGAATAAGAATGGTAATAATAATAATAATGAAAATTTATAAAGTGCCAATATCCATTTAAGAGGAAATGCAATACAATTTTCACTTTTTTTTCTCCATTTTCGAATTAATTTTTGAATAATTTAGACTGTGGCCGGTTGCACAACTCCCCTTCTGGAATATACAGAGCAGTTGAGCATTTTATATAGGACTGTAATAATAATAATAACGATAATAATAATAATAAGCCTAATTATAATATTAATAGGCCTAATAATAATAATAGGCCTAATAATAATGATGATAATAATAATAATAATAATAATAATAATAATAATTAATAAGAATAATAATGATAATATTAATGAAAATTTATAAAGTACCGGTATCCGTTTAACAGGAAATGCTCATCCAGAGGAAAGTCTAAATGTGAAATACATTTACAATACATTTTGAAATACAGATACATTTTAAAAACCAGACATGAGCCGTACATGGCTGAGCGTCTCTATCTCACTCTCTCTATGTGGCCATGTGTGCACGGATATTTATTTATTTATTACCAATTCAACATATAGATATACAATGGATGAAATTACTTAGAGAGTGCCTAGATCAAGACATGAGCACTGCCCAACACCAAAAGTGGTCCACTGATCATATGATAAATTGTAATTCATACATGAAAGTAAAGGCAATACAAAAAAGCTTGAATTTGAAAACAATGTTAGCAAGAGGGCTCCCAGTTTTCAATAAGAGATAAGGCAGCAGACCATTTAACAAAAAATGGGGCTAGGAGGAAGAGTTTTCTACAATTTAGCTGCCTTAATGAAACCGATTTTTGAAAATAATGTAGTCCTAACCTAACTGTCCTTAATTAGCAGGATCTATGGGATTTTTAAAAAACAGGATAAGCCACACTTGTATGGCAATTAGAGGAGAAATATTTAGCAAAAAGTAAAACACGGCTAACATTTCTTCTGACCTATAAAGGGAATAAATTAAATAACTCAGCCTGTCCTTATATTCTTCGCATAAGTTGGTATGCTGGGGCCAGATTTATCAAACTAGAAATCGGTTTATAATTGTCTTTTAAAAGTCCATTAAGGTTGATAAATCCCGGGTCGGGGCCCCAGTAGCACATGTTGCTGTAAACTAAACATTATATTTAACTTAAAACGCAACTAGCCTTGCTCATGTAGTCCGAGTTACCATAACTTATAAACTAACTTCCTCGTCCGACTCTGCGACATTAATTTGCCGATCCAAACAAATATATTCTGATAGCCAATCCCCATTGTGGTCTAAAATCACATTGGCCGATCCTGTACCGTAAAAATTTTGCCATTCATATATTTAATTATAAGTTTGTAACTTACTTAAATATAATAATTCACTTATGGAATTAAATTGTTTATCTTCCAGCTCAAGACAGACAGTGTATATTTAAATTGGACCTCATTGGAAATGGGCTGGACTCTGGCCTAATTGGCATTCCTGATGCTCATTACGGTAATTTTTACTTTCCTTGATCTCAATCCATTTGTTATCTTGCTTATGCATGTTGAGCATCAAATAAATTCAATCAATCAATCAAAAAATATTATATCATGAAAAATGTTTGTATGAAGATTATAGATATAGTATTATGTTTATTGTTTGAATATACTGTATTTATGAATCTATATATTCATTTCTATCGAATAGTACATTTTTTATAAATTTTATTTACAATCGGAATGCTAACATAATTTGTTTGCACTATTGCGATCTACTAGCCCGACCCAATGCCATGTATTAATTAATCCTCACATCATTCCGTGGTATGATGATACTATAAATAATTAGAATTTGATATGATAATGCTGATATGATAAGAATTGTGGAGTACTATTATGTTGTATCAGCAGCATTGTCCATTGCGATAACTGAATACGATAATGTTCAGGTTGGGGTGCAAACCTACTGGCTCTGCCTCTGTTTTTATTTATATATCATGTTTTGATGATACTCCGTTATAATTCTTTCTCTGTTTCCTGATCTTTCCTCAATATTTTTCTGTTCCAGTGATGTAGACAAAGAAGCCACAACTATCAGGAAATAATGTCTGGACTTAATCGTGAAAGGACAACAGAACTTACCAATTATGCATAGATAGCCAAAAATTGTGTCACTCATCAAGCATCCTGCAAAAATTCTGGATATGAAATTATTTAAAATATAGTGTAAATTTATTTTTTAAATGTTTTCCTCTGCAATAATCTCAAAAATAATGTTAGCAATATGTAGTAATTCTTGTAGGCTTTATGTTTATTAATATTGTATAATAATACTGTTAATGTTTATCTTATTAATAGATAAAGTAACCCGTTTGTTGTAAAGAATATAGACATGTAAAATAATAAGATATAACATTTTGAGGATTAAAATCATATTTATTTGATTTTTTGCCAGATGTACATGATATAGACCTACAGTTATATAAATATAAAATCTATATATATATATATATATATGTATATATATATATATATATATCACAACTTGATTTCAATGCTTAAAAATAAATATCAAGTGGAATTCTGAATTTCTTTTCATCTTATTAAATGTCTATGTTTACTCTAATAAATTCAATAGCTAAAATATCCTTATTATAATAAACTAATAAGCTTAAACCAAAAGTTAAAAATTGCTTCATCAATATGTGCTACTCTATCTGTTAAACTAGCAACTTTTTCGAGGACGCCCTCAACAAAAACATAAAACCGGAAATGACGTGGTTGCTAAGCAACAAGCTCATGCATAATCATGAATATTCAGTGGCACCTGTTCTAATTAGACTAACAATAAAATCTTTTTGGTCGATTTTGTCAAAACTGAGCTAAAAGTTTTTATTGTTAGTCTAATGAGCATAGGTATTACTGAATATACATGAGCTGTAGCCTAGCAACCGACGTCATTTCCTGTTTTGTAAAATTCGACAGCACCTTGCTCTGAAAGTTTCGTAATTTGTTGGTGTCATGTGAATATATTTGGAAAGAGTGTTTTTATATATGTAATTCGATTATATACTGATTAATAATCATGAAATATATAACATTAATATTAATGTAATTACGACAAAGGAAGTACACACAATGATGTATCATAAATTACACTACAGTTTACTTTTATTTCTAACTCAATATGTGCTACTCTATTAAACTAGCAATTTTTTCGAGGACGCCCTCAACAAAAACATAAAACCGGAAATGACGTGGTTGCTAAGCAACAAGCTCATGCATAATCATGAATATTCAGTGACACCTGTTCTAATTAGACTAACAATAAAATCTTTTTGGTCGATTTTGTCAAAACTGAGCTAAAAGTTTTTATTGTTAGTCTAATGAGCTCAGGTGGTACAAAATATGCATGAGCTGTAGCCTAGCAACCGACGTCATTTCCTGTTACGTAAAATTTGACAGCACTTTAGTGTACTCTGAAAAATTTCGTAATTTGTTGGTGTCATGTGAATATATTTGGAAAGAGTGTTTATAAGATATAGTAGCCTGTAATCGAAGTGATTATAATATATTTAATTCGATTATATATAACATTATCATTAATGCAATTACGATAAAGGAAGTACACACAATTATGTATCATAAATTACACTACAGTTTACTATTATTTCTTACTCGGAAAAGTTACATCAGAACTATATAAACGTAATATAAATAGAATATAAAGATTCTAGTTTTATATAATATAAT